AAAAAAAAAAAAAAAAAGCACACCAATTATTTCAACAAGTAGCCAATATAACTGCATAAATTTAAGAGACAGCATTGTATTCTCACAGTAACTTGAGATGTCTACTTGATAATGGCACTTTAGAAGTCACAAGAGGACATCAGTACAGTACTTTCCATGTGTGTCACTTAGGCCATAAGCTGGACTCTTCCTTCTGTGCTTTGGCATTAAGGGTTGAATCAGTTGTGAAATTTCATGGTTGAAAAGGACTTAGAGGTCATTTAGTCCAACTCCTTTGTGTGAATGAATCCCCTCTACCACATCCTTAATGAATGCTGCTTCTTTCTTTCTCTTCTTGAACCCCTTTCATGACAGTGGATTTGCCACATCCTCCCAGTGCTTCAGGTAGAAATAAATGCATCTTATTACATTTCAGACAGATTTTTCACCCTTCATAATAATAGTTATTTTCAGCACTGTGAAACCTACCAATTTGATTAGTATGAGTCCTCTGTCCTTCATCTGTTTTGTGTATAAAGGAAAAAAGGCAATTATGGAACATGTAGGCCTTTTATTTCTATTTACCTGTCAACCTATATGCTGCCTCTTTCCAGAAAAAAAAATCTTAAATGAAATGACTTAAAACACCTGGGTGCAACAGTTATTAAAATAGAAATAGAAATTCAAACTCCCGAAAAGAAATTCTTGACTCAAAGACTAATGTAGTTGCTGGCATTGAAATTAAATTTATCAGTGGGCTTTCTAGAATTCAGTACGAAAGGAGAAATATAGTGGATTACACAGTTCTCCTTATCTAACAGAAGAAAGTATACTAATTCTCCATTAAATGAAAATTTTTTTCTTAGTTCTAAATTACAAGAGGAATTTCTCATGTAGCATCTTACAAAAGAGCCTTATTTCTTTGTTTTCTATTTGCAGTCATTTTCACTGCCATTTCATTTTTACCAAGCTTACAATCTCAATCCAATGTTAAAAAAAAAACTCTGTTGAATATAGGGGACAAAGCCTGAGCACTGGATAGCTACTTTTCAAAAGGGATTGGAAAAACACCTTAAACTACCAAAATCATCCTTTTGGGGGGGATCAATATTATGGGGCATTGGTTCCCATAGGTCCAATTCTTAGTGGATGGGAACAAATGAGAAACTGAGTTAATATCTCCTATGGCACTAACATCATTCCTTCACCTCTCCTAGAAGTAACTAAAGTTGGGTGATTACTAGGTACAAATGATATCCTTGTGAACTGAGAGAGGTGTACAGAACATGGTCGACTGAGAAGCAGAGAATGCTGAAAGGGTTGGCCTGAATATCTGACAATAATTTGGATCTCTCAGAAGGGAAGTGATACCTATAAGCAAAAGGTATTACTAAAGCTGGCCCTGCTGCTAGGGGTAATGTGAAGAATTTGGGCTTTCTCATTTGCTCATTAAACACTCCAATTATTTTCCCAGGAAGGGCATTATAGGAAAGTTACAAATGGGTCAACTGTGTCTTCCTGTAGTTAAGCCCCTGTGGTTTTAACAATACTTTTCCCTGTTCTTGGATTAGAGATTGGGGGAGGTATGCCCACATAATGACCATTGCACCTTTGAAGGCTTCTGTGGTGCCTAAGACATCACAAAAGGCCCTCAGTAAAAATAAATTACTTTGCTCATAGTGATTATCACAGTTGGTTAGACTTTACCTGGACTCCCTGCTTCCATCATTAAACTCTAAATAACTAAAGACAGATCTCAACTCCTTCCCCACACCTAAAGCCAGCCCGGCATAGCTCTGCTTTCTTCTCTATAGCTAGAAAAGGCACACCTTTAATCTGTATTTTGTCCATCCAAATGTGGCAGCACATTATTATTATTACTATTACTGCTACAACTACTACTACTGTTGAATCTGGGTTATATCTTGAGGTCCCTTAAGGCCAATAAGCTAGATTCGATTCTCACAAATTAGTTACTGTAAAATCAATGCAAGTGCAGTAAAAGTAACCCACATACTGAATGAGGCTGTTTGTATACTGGACAACAGAATGTATGCATGGTGTTACCATGGAAAGAATGAGAGATTTCAGACTTAATCTAAAGAAGGCATTGGTACCCCTTTGAATAAGTAACCCCAAACAAACAACTTGGCTTTTTGCAGAATTAGAATAAACTGAACACATACTTGCTTAAAGCCGGGATATTGTAGGCACAGTAAATGCTAATGTCCATGCTGATGGTTGGCAAGTGCAAACAAGCATGCTGATCATTATTTCATCTAGCAGTTTATTATAACAAATGCCAGAAATCAAAGTCAAAGCTAAGCAAAACCCAGCTACCAACAGCATAATTTTCTCCTCATTTTTACCTATTCTACCCTTTAAATCCCTTTCTGATTAGCCGGAATCCTGGAAAAGAGGGTAAAAATAATAATAAAAGAGGCCTGTGAATTATTGGATAGTGTTTAAATGCCACACAACTTTGAGAGAGAAGCACCAGTTGAGACAAGTACCTATTTCCCTAGAGCAGTCTAAAATATCTGAAAGCTTACACGATGCAATGGTGAATGGTTGTCTCTAAGAAAGCTCTCTGCTTTTGGAAGCTGAGTAGCACAAATACCTGGTGTGGAAGAAGTTGGCATAGCAACTCTGCATTTGCAGTGGTGAATCACAGAGTAAACAGGTGCATAAAACAACTACTCAAATGTGTTTGCTTCTCTACAAAGTGGTTACATCTTGTAAAGCATTTTTAGGCTTCTCTTTTTGAGAAATACAAACTCTTCGGTCTAATAATTTAAGGCATTTCATTTGCTGAATAAAAGAGGATATTCATGAGTCATGGAAAGATTTATTCTCTGTATTTTCTCTATATAAATGAGGTGACATTTAGGCTAAAAATAAGTCATTTCCCCTTCATAGAAGATACAATTCTCCATTGACCAGAAAATGGTACCAAAAGTAAGCTTTCTGTGTTTGTTAAAAAATACATTTCCAAGAAAAAAATTGCTTACCTCTTGGCAACAGGCCCCTTGAAATTAGGATCAAATGTCCTTGGATAACCTGCATTTAAAACAAAGAACTTTTTAAGCATATATGCCAATGAAATGGCAAATAAATACATATAAGATATTAATAAAGAAAAATCTACATCTTGGTTACTACCCAGTACAATGTTGAATTCATTCTTTGGTCCAGGGAAACATCCATTATGCCTTGGCTACATCTGCCAATCTTTTCCCTCTCTCCAATAAGAAGCAAGACTGGGAAGAGTTAAGGACCATATTCTACGCATACCGTACACATATCTCCCACTGTTCTGTGTGGCAACATAGATTCCATCCAGGCTAGCAAAACTTGGAGGCCTTCTGGTCTGCAAAGCCGTTCTACCATCTGCCATCACCAAGTATTGCTGAGTGTTCATGAGGTGCACAGTATAATAGAGATGCCTGCTTATCTGGTTCTCCCCTTTCTCTCAGTAGATTAGGCTTTCCTTCAAGAAGTTGAAATATTAGTTGGTCTCTGCCACATTGGCTATATGGTATATACAAATCATTATTGTATTATATAAGTATTATTTTTAACTGAATTTTTTAAGATCCTATTGGCAGGCTTCATGCCATCTGGGAGATGTCATTTATTATTGCATTATGAGTATGATATATTACCCCTGTTTTTTTTCTCTTTTTAAAATATTTAAACTTTGAATGGCTATCATTCTTGATTATTTTTGTGTATATTTTTCTTGTACAAATTTTTATATAAACTTTCTTTTCATAGCATGTCATGAATATCTATGTCAATAAATTTGTATCTACAACTTTATTTTTTAATGGCTGAAAACATTTCATTGTATGAAAGCCTGTTATTTAAATTTACCAGTCCTCTTTTGAACTTTCAGATTCTTTCAGTTTTTCTTTTATAAACATTGCTGTGATGAATATTCTTGTTAAATTTTAGCACACATCCTTAATGTTTCCCTTAAAATAAATTTCTGAAAGTTTAATACCTACCTGTAGACAGTTCTTAAGAATTAAAATATAATGGCAAATTACCCTTCAAAAAGCTTGCACTTGTTTATATTCCTATAAACAATGAGAATGCCTGTTTTTCCATAGTCTCTCAGCAATGCTAGTTATTATCAGTTTCCTCATCTTTTTTTTTTTTTTTTAATTTTTAGACAGGACAAGGTACACACAGAACGGCCTTTTCCCAGGACATGTACTGTGTAATCAGACCCAGGACTAAGTTCTGTAAAATCATTTCTGGTCAGTGATCTGTATTTTGCGATTCCAAACCCTCGATGCTTCTCCCCCAACCTAAGCAGTCCCACCTCTTCCTCTAGGGATTTGTCCCTGTGAGAAGGTCTAGTCCTGAAATTAAAGAGGGCATTTCAAAAGGGACTGGCAAAAAACCCCCATGTGTCAGCAACCTAACTCTGCCTGTAAATGGGGACCTGAGTTCTGAGGACTCAGAGGCCTCTTCACTGTAATCACAGGCTGAGGACAAAATAACAGAAAGGTAAGGACACACACAGAACAGAAATCTAAGAGCCAGTCAGTCAGTGAATATTCATAGAGCACCTATGATATGCCGAGAGTGCCAAGGGCACAGAAGATATATAAGGCATGGCCCCTATCTTGGAGACCTTAGCAACTGGTGGGACAAGATCAACATTTGATTCATTCAACAAACACTTCTTGAGAATCTTTATTTACCAGGCCCTGTGCTGTAACATATAAACACTGAATATACCATATAAAACAATCAAGAGCTAAATTGTGTGGTTATCTGCCTTAAGTGTTACAAGAGTTCTAAGAAAGTAGGTTTCATCAAGGACTAGAACAGTCAAGAGGGTTTCATTCGAGAAGTGAGAGTTTTATGAAAGATTAGAATAAAACAAGAGGAAAAAGAGAAACATTTTGGGTGGATGAAACCAGAATTCTGTTCAATTCAGGAACTATTTATTGACCACCTATTATGTGTTCTGCATTAAAAGAGGCACTACAGGGGATACAAGCTTTACTGAAACAGTCTCTGTCTTCAATAAGCTAATGAACTGATGAGCAGGGAGAGAAATAAGAAAAGTACAAAAATTACTATAATACAAAGACGAACATGATATCATAAGAGGGTTACAAAGAAAGTGTTATGAGAGTTCCAGAGAAGGAAAGGTCACTTTTAGTTGAGATTAGTAAGGAAGGGTTCCTAGAGCCACAACATTTTGGGATGGACAGGTGAAGTTTAGACCTGTAGCAATGAATGAAGTCACAGAGATGATTAGTGTGGTTGGGGGGATGGTGAAAAACCCAGTTTTATTGGAGTAATGGATAATGGGATAAGAGGAGGGGAAAATAAAGCTGAATAGATACCATAGGATCAGACACAGAAAGCCTGAAAAATTGGGATGGAATTTATTTTATACATCCTAGGCCACAGGGAGCCATAGAAGGATTTTGAATGAAGGAATGACGTGGTAAAAGCAGTGCTTAAGGAGAGCAATCCAGCAGCAGTATACAAGTTGTATGGCAAAATGCAAAGTCAAGGAGATCAACTTAGGAGTCCGTTGTAATAATAGAGGTGAAGTAATGGGAGCCACTGCCCAAGTGGTGGTAGAAGTGATGGAAAGAGAGATTCAAGATTCATCAGGGAGAGTTGTGTGGCATAGAAGTCAGGAGCAATTGTTTCACCTCTGAGTCTTGGTTTCCATATTTGTAAATGGGGATAACAACAGTACATATGCCATAAAGTTGTTATGAGGATTCGATGAATTAAAACCTGTAAAAGTGCTTAGAACAGAGTCCGGCACTTAGTAAGTCCCCAGTGAATATTCATTATTAGTGAAGGTAATTACATGAAAAAAATGTATGAATGACTTGGGGGGTAAAAGAGAGAAGTTAAAGATGGCTTCAAATCAAGTGACTATAGACCTAGAACCCGTAATTCTCAATCACTTTTAGTCTTTTGCCTAGGCTTTAGGGAAGATTGATGCTACTGAAATAGTTTGGGAACATTAGTAGGTGGAAGAAATTGCAAAGTTGTTATAAGAAAAAGAACATGAGGTTGATTTTGAAGTGACATCTGATTATAAATCCATCATTCAACCAGAGTTAAGAAACAGGAGTCTTGGGTCATGTCTTGAGATAAATATGTGGAAGTCACAAAGTTTGTATCATGAAGTGATGAACTCCATAAAAAAGAACTTCAGGATCTGTCAATTATGTTATTATAACAACCAGAACAATAGTATTTAACATGTTTTTAGCATTAAATGCTAAGTGCTTTACCAAGTGCTTCATTTGCATTGTTTTGCTAGCTTTGATACGATAACCTTATTATGTAGGTAGATTGAAAACCATTATTAGCCTCGCTTTACATATTAAAAACATAAGGCACAAAGAGGCTAAGAATGTGCCCCACCTGGGATCTCTTCTGTCTAATCTTATTGTGGCAGAACAGATCCTACTGGCTATACCCTACAATGCCAACATTGGTTCCTACTCCAAGGGAAGTGTATAAAATGTTTCCTGTTTGAGACAGTCCATATATACTTCAGTGTTGAGTTCTCTGACACACTGTCAACTTCTCTTTTCCTGACTGCTTCTCTAACTTTGCCCAACTAGGAACTCACCTCCTCACAATTAAGGGTAAAAGGTAAAATTAAACAGTTACAGGAAGGGAAACAGAAAAGTGATGCTCAGGAAAGCTAAAGAATTCCAAGAAAGAGGGAAGATTATAAATTCCACAGAAAAACGATTACTAAATGAATGCTTATTTGTATCTGGGACTGCTATAAGTACTTTGCACATAAATCTGCCATTTTGCACAATTCCACAGAGAATGCAATGTGAATTGTACTCCCTTGCACTGTGCAATGCAATACCCCCGGTATATTTAGTATGTTATTTAATGCTCCATAATTCTGTGAGGTGTGTCATTGTTATCATTCCATTTTACAAATGAGGAAGTTGAGGTACAGAGAGTGAGCTAATTTGCCCTAGCCCCTCAGCTAACAAGAGGTGCGGGTGGGATTGGAAAGCACATGGTCTGACCCCAAAGCCTATATTGAGCCACTTGGCAAGAAGTTGCTCACTGGTGATCTCAAAGAAATTCCACAGATGAGTGGGGAGAGAAGGTAGATGAAAAGGGATTAGCAACTTACATTGATCTTTAATTATTCGCTTTTTACATTAAAGATAGGCAAAACTACTTTAAAAGTATCTAGGCCAGGGGCGCCTGGGTGGCTCAGTTGGTTAAGCGACTGCCTTCGGCTCAGGTCATGATCCTGGAGTCCCGGGATCGAGTCCCGCATCGGGCTC